CGGCCCCCGGCCCCCCCCCCCCCCCCCCCCCGCCGCCCCCCCCCGCCGCTGCTGCTGCTGCTGCTGCTGCCGAGAGAAGGGACTTCTCCGACACATCAACCTCACAGAGTTTAGTGGAGGCGGGGTTGGGGAGGAAAGGCTGTTTAAACACCAGAAATTGTCTTCTCTACCCGCTGGATGAGCGTTTGGTTGGTTTCTTTCTGTCAGCCGGAGTCGCTGTGGAACAGTGATGAAGAACAGCTCCGGTTACCAGGGTAATTGAAGATGCGGGATGATGCTCAGTGTGGAAAAAGTAGATGAGGATGCTGTGAAAGAAAAACGCAACATCATTTCATCTTCAAAAGGGGATAAAAACCAAAAGCTGTTTCTTCCACGATGATTTCGGCTCCTGTGCTCGCAGTGACGCGACCCTGCTGCGGTTACAGAAGTTGTGAGGAAAATAAAATTTCTGAATCCACTCAGTCTGAGTTCATTTTATAATCGCAAGTTTAAACGGAGCGAGATAAGTGCGTTGAACAGGAGTCTTGGATCAGACTCTGGTCCTGCATCCACTCCCCTGTCACCGCCCCCCAGGTCTCACACGGCGGCTGTCAGCGGAGGAAAGTCAACACCAGTGAACACAGCGACACAAGGAAGTGAGCGCTAATTACTCCTACAAAATACAAGTTTTTGTTTTGTAACGTATAGCATCCGGAGAATTTCACAAGAAAATGAAAAATAAAATAACTCCAAACAAATCCCAACAGCCCTCTCTATGATCCACTGATTTAATGTATGAATATATGAAATAATAATATTCATAGCTGGAGCAGTTATTTCGGTTGCCTTGTAGCAAATATATGCTTTAAAATGATATATAGCAGATAATGCCAAATTTGAAATGATCATTTTAAATTTCAGAACCAAACTAAAATCATAAATACCTGATGACAAAAGGTGTTTTATTTTGAAATCAACGCCTGAAGTTATAATGGCCTCATTGTGAATGACTTAATGGGGGTCTGACACTGACAGAGTGCAGACCCTTCCCAGTCTACTCTGCTTCAGTCCACATCACAAGTCTCACACATCACAAGTGTATAAAAATAGCCACCACCCCGGCCCACCCCCACTCCCCCCGTGGCTGCCATCACACGTCTGGAGTATTGTATCAATTTGCAGACATGATAAGATTTGGAATAACATTCTCTGCTTGGATGTATGGTTCCAGAAAGTAAACAGGTTGTTGTGGATTGTCAAACAGCATCGACTCTGGGTTGTGATGCTGTGATTTGTCCTGTTTCAATTTCAAGCTTGATAACATCTGTGGCAGAAACAGAGCTGTCACAGCACAGGGGATAAAAATGAAAAACAAAAGAAAAACACAGTTGTAAAGTTTGCTGAGGTGATGACACACTCCTTTTTTTTTACAGGCCTAACTCTGACTGAATGGAAATTTCCAGTCGACATTTTAATGTGCCAGAGTGAGACCTGCTGCTGAAGTGGACCAGAGTAACATGAGTGGGATAAGGAGCTGTAATTTTTACTATATGAGATATTATGAAATCTTTTTCTCAGGTGTTATCATAATATTAGGAATTATATTACAGCCATATTTTATGTTTTCACTTGGGTTTTAGTCCAAAATCATTCACTGTGTCCTGCCCGCACCAGAGGGCAGGACACAGTGAGGACAGTGAGGACACAGCAGGACACAGCAGGACACAGTCACCCAGCAGGACCTGTTCAGTTCACAGTTAAACATGAGACCAATCATGCAAAGCAAAAAGAAGAAAAGTTATTTTAATTGATGTTTTTTTATGCTTCAAATGTTTAGTTGAAAACCAACTAAAGGTGCGTTCCTATTTTTAGTTCATTTTATTTGTTGATGCACAATTGGTAATAATTTGGATCCAAGATTACTTATAAAGGGCCAATGCAATTTTTTTTAATACTTTTTTTTTCAGACTCAGTTCTAAAAAGTTCTTAAACGCAGGACTAGAACTAAACCAAACTTCTTTGGAAGTACCAGTGGTTGTTGGGCTTTCTGGTCAGTTGTCCAGTGTGTACCCCGCCGTCAGCTTCAGCCACAGTGAGATATGCTGAGAAGACTGAGAAGAAAATTGATGGATGGGTGGTTTATTCATGGGTTGATTCATTAACTAGTGGGGTGGTTGGTGACATCTGCACATCTCATAGGTCATCCAGCTACTTTGTCCAAAGAACAGCAAGTGTCCAAGCACATGTTCACCGATACAGCGGTTTAGTCGACGCTGGGTGTCGGCAGATCAGAGGCAACGCGGCCTGACGGTCCAGCAGGAAGCCTGAGGTGGTTGATCTGTGTTTTCTCTCAATGGCCTCGATGACATGAGAACTAAAATTAACCCAGGAGCCCACATGCCTTCCCATGACCCTTTGGTGTTAGAGCCGAGTGCCAGGATTATGCACGCAAGGCAGGGGTGATGGTTGTACAGGAGCTAATGCAGCGTCTCATCAGTGATGTCCACACATGGGAACCTTGACTTTTAACTGCTTTAGTTTTCTGCGTCGTCCTGAAATATTTGTTAAAAGCACAGCACCTTCAGCTTCCCAAAGAAGTTCCTTCGTATGGTGTAAGAGCCTTATTTAAGTTGTTCTAGAGAAATGTTCTCACCTTTTTGTGGTTTTAATTTTGACATTTTCTGCCTTTCTCTGTTCTGTTCTGTTCATTTCTCCTGGTGGAGAGATTTTAAATTCTAATGAGATGTTTTGCATTTTTAAATAATTAACACATGAATGACTACTATCCAAGTATTTTAACAAAGAAGTAAGAGAACATTCTGGAGGATGAAAATCTATTTGCGTCATTGTTATCAACGTGAATTTTGTGTATTTTGCCTAAAGGGCATCTTTTAACAAGCCTGACCGCTGGTGTGTATTCTTGTTTTTTTCACCTTACATGACAGCTATTGTCAGCGCTCTGGCTGCGGAAAGATAATGAACTTAAAAATGCCCGTCTCTGTCACCTCTTCATGGCCCTGCAGAACAGGAGCGGACGAGGAAGAGTCCCAGAAGCAGACAACACGGCCCGCACCTCTGACCGTACTGGCTGCTTTATCTGCCCGGAATTCTTCCAGCTCACGGTCACCTTCAGTGCAGACCTCGGAACTTCATTCTTCTGATAAGAACTGGATAAAAGAGATACATACTGTACTTTACTGACACACACACAGGGGTCGCACTTCAAAACACGAACACAAACCTCCGTCACCATAGGGACACGTTGTTCACAGAGGTGAATAAATGAAATACTAATAAGAATATTAAAGAAAGAAAAGATCATGAGACTACTATAGTGAAACGACTACGACTACTAAAACAACTACTGCTACTACTGCTAATAATAGTGATGATAATATAATTTATATTTTTATTTTAATCTAATTTATATTATTTATATATTTAAATATATACAAAATTATAATATATATATTTATATATAAACTAAATTCAATTCAATTAAATTGTAAATATACAAATATAAAAAACATGGTCCTCCTGAAATATGTGCTGTGTTTTTTCTGCGTAAATGCTTCCATCAAAACTACATTATAGAAAAATGTCGACACAATTCAAATTAATTCAGTAAAGGAGCACAAAAGAAAAGCAGTCGCAATGAAGACACTGAGCCAGTGTTCATTGAAATGATAATAAAACATGACAGTAACCATGAAGTGAAGTAGCAGTAATTAAAGCAATCATATAAAAGTGTGTGTTTCGTGGCCGTGCTGTGCCTCCGCGTCTCAAAATGCCTCCTGACTCCAGACTATCGCTGACACAAACATGATGCTGGAGCAGAGTTAATTTAATCAATTGGGCATCCTGGAGTGTTCCTGTAGCGGAGCAATAACTCACACTGGCGCTGAGTTTTGTTTCCACTGGAGAGAGTGATCTGTCAACAGACCACATGAAAAAGACCAGTGTCCAGGTGCATTAATCCACCTGTCTGGTACACAGAGATTGACTGATGGGCCGTGATATATGACTGACTTCATGACCTGACCACGCAGACCCAACATATCTGTGTGTTTGTCTCTCCATATATTGCTTTTAAATTTAATTTTCTATAAGGTTTTCTAAAGGTCACAGTGGGGTCATCTCTGCTGCAGGGTCTAAAACAGTGTATATTAAAACAAGAAAAATCTAGGTTTTATGGGAACTTCCTGTTGTCTTTTTGAGACAAAAACTACAATTCGATGTGAAATAATATATAAAATCAAATATAGAGTAATAGGAGTGTGTGTATATGTATGTCTGTATTTAATATATATGTATATACAAATATATTCATACATACAGTAGATATCCACCCATCCATCCATCCATTTTCATCCGCTTATCCGTTACCGGGTCGCGGGGGGAGCAGTTGCCACCCAAATCACATTGCACCGTACCAACCCCCCCAAACCTTCCTGTGGGTGGAGAGTCCACTGGAAGGTACCAACCACCCTAACCGGGATTCGAACTTGCCCAGGAGGTGAACCCTGGGGTTCCACACCAATGACAGAGACATTGCCTCTGGGCCAAAGCGCCACACATAGATATCTATGTATATATATATACACACACACTATATATATAATCATATGTACATTATCCCCAGTTAAATACACTCTCTATATGAAACCTCAGTGTGTGATAGTTTTATCATCATTTACTTTACATGTATTAAATGTTCACGTCTCAGACGTCAGGTTTGAACTGTTGTTTAAACGTCCCAGGACCAGCTGCTCCTCCTGTGATTACTTTAAACTATAATTACGCACTTTAAGCAAATGTGTTTAGCACCAAACAAATTCTTTAGTTCATAGCAATGAAATGAAATCACAGCCACCAGTCAGTCCCTCCGCTCCAGTCCCCAGCTGCCAGCCTCTTCCTCTGTGTGTGTGTGTGTGTGTGTGTGTGTGTGTGTGTCTGCTGGGCTGGAATCAAAAGCAGAAGTCAAGTCACCAGCTGTTACACATCACCATCATCAAGTAAATACCTGGTTCCTGTATAAACACTTCAGCAGACTGGACGCTCTGTTTGTCCAATTAGTCATTAATAAAGCCTCTTGAGTTTTTTTAATGTCTGCCATTTGCTTTGTTCCTGTTTCCGCTGTGTCTTCCTTTTGTCTCTGCTCAGTCTCTCTCTTGGTTTTGAGGTAGAATAACTGTGATTGATTCTGCCACAGAGCTGTGTCCTGCTCACTGTTTCATCAACAGCCTTACAACCACGCATCTGAAAGTAGCGACGAATCAGGAGGTAAAGCAACTAGAAAAGACTGTGGCTTCTAGATAAAAGAGGAATATTTAAAAGGTGGACTTTCCACCAAACTCATATGCAAAAACTGGTGAAAGTGCACCCATCTGCCCAGCGTCACTCCCTGGTAAGTAAAAACACTGCATCAGAGAGGGTTTGAAATGATGAACCAAACGACGGACATTTGGTTGTTCTATCAGTTTTATTGCTAAGTTAGCATAGCACACACACATCTACATTACACAGTCTGTAGCGTCGGTCAAGGCTAATGTTATATTCACATATGCAGGGATTTTCACAGATATAGGTTGAGTTTAGCAACACCTAGGGTAAAAGTCAGGAGCCGCATTATCTATTCATAATCAACACGCTTTTTTTAAAAAAAGTAGCTAAAACATCTTTATATAAATACGTATATATAT